ATATTAGAATTATTTGCTTTAAGAAACATACTTTCCTCAAGCATTCCAACTTCAAAGCACTTCTGCAGACGACATTTACGGCAGACGTTCCTTGCTACTAAAAAAATAAAAAAATCGTCTTGCTCAGTCAAACTTCCGGCAATGTCAAAAAAAACTTTGACAGGCATGTCGTCGAGTTGGATAACTTACCATTGAAAAGTTTACATTTATGACTGCCAGACCTACAAACGTATCGTCTTTTTAGGTTTATACTTCGTCGAAAAAATGCTGCACAGGCTCGACATGCTTCAACTCCGAAATGCATACCTTGGGCCAAAGCATGACATACGCGACAAACAGGTTCAGTTTCTTGAAACATTACTAAAAATTGAATTTTATGTATTTTTTTTTATCTGCAAATGTGTACTTACGGTTGCACTTGAAAAGCTCAAAACCGAAGTCTTAGAAGTATATTGAAATTTGCTTGTGATTATTATTTTTCAAACCGATTGAGAACGACAACAACAACAAAAAGAAAAACAATAATGTTTGGTGACTGCAGCTTATGAAATTACTTAATTATTTAGCAGTTCAATAAAACTTAAGAAAAGAAGCCGTAATTGCTGTCTAATTTATATGAAAAAAACGATATAAACATGTGCAAAAATAATGATAATAATGTTCATGTCAACACGTCTAGAAATTTCTCGCAAAATTAACATTTTCGTTTTCAGCTTCTTCAGTTCTGCTTTTTATTTTTCTCTTTCAATTAGCAATCAATGATGGTTATAAGAAAATGTGACATTGTTTAGATAGCTTATACGTACATATAGAAGCATAATATGGTGAGAACCAGACGCTTGCTTTAACAGAAGTTATTCGTTTATAAATTTGTGCTTAAATTATAAACATATAAACTTAGCTAATAAAAATGTTTGATGTGTTTTCTTAATATTCTAAAAACTTTTAATAAAAGATGCTTTCTTACTGTATTTTAAATCACAGTTTTATCTTACAATTATTTGACTTTTCACTAAAATGAAATATGAATGTTGCACACAGAACAAGAATAAATGAGTCAAAAGCTGTTAGTCGAAAATAATCAAATGATGTAAAATAAGAAAGCATATAAAATAAAATTTTGTTTTCCATCTTTGGCATATTAATTAAGATATAAAAGACTTAAAACAATTTTTTAGACATGAAAAATGTGTCAATCAACAATATGACGCGGTCTTTTTTCTACTTCTTTCACTACCGCATAAATTGAAATGCGAAACTGGAAAACAATGATCATCAATTCAGAAGTCAAAGAATGCCAAACAAGAAAGTACCTTTGTTTCAGAATATTGTTAAATCAAAGATCAGATAAAAAAACACACATTGTATGATTAGGTACTTTAATTATAGTTTTTTTTTTTTTTTT